TATTTATTTATTTATTCAGATTTATACTCCACCCATCTAGACTGAAGGTATACTCTGGGTGGCATTACAAATTTTAAAACAATAAAACCAATAAACATGCAATAAATATGTTAAAATGTGAATTTAAGATTCAGCAGGAAGGATGCGTGTAAATACTAGGTTGGGAATACACACACACATAAACTGTTGACAAAATGGGATTTATTCAACCGAGGATAAAAAAACAAAACTTTTGCAAAATGAATTAGCTGGAAAATAGTCACATATGCATTTAAATGTTCACTGAAAGTGATCACTTCCAAGTCAATTCTTTGTGCTGAATGAACAAGAGAACAGGGCTTTCACAACATGGGTATTCCTTTACCCCATTTATCTTCACAGATCATCTTTTGCAAAACTGTCTGCAAATGCTATAGCTAGAGATTAAGAGATTTATCTACAAATTTGCGTAGTATCGGTCACGGTTCTGAAAATCTTGATATACACGTTTTGCATCAGACCGGCTGTAAGGCACTCTGCCAAAAGGTTCCTGATCATTGAAACAGGAGTCAAAGACTTCATCCACAGCCTTTTCTGCCATCTCTTTACTGACTTTTCTGACAGCCAAGATGGAGCGAATGGCTCTGTCTCTTACACAGACCTGAAAAAGTTGGAAAGAACAGAGTCAGGCCTCAAACTATATAGTCACCTGACATATTTATATTAAACAAAAAGAAAATATTAAAGTTATAAGCCAGAGGAACTGTTTCAAAAATATTCTAACTAAATGGACTCTGTAGTAAATAACTTTTGCATTTAGGCCTAACTCAATGATTTTAGTGGAATCTCTGCCATGACTGTTTTGAAGACAAGTTTCCATGTAAAAACACCTGCCTATCTATTGTTATATCTTGCCAAGGTCTGTTTTTTTGAGAATGTTCCTATAGTTGGCATTCATGTGAGAACCTAGATACACAGTAAGCATGCACACCTTTATATGGTGGATTCATACTATATCCAAATCTGCTGTTCTGATTACCACTACTGAATATTGGTTTCTCCTTGAGATTATAGAGAAACAGAAATCTCAGACCCGTTCGCAAGACAACGCAAAATTTTGTGAACGGAACTGTTCGTAACTCAAAATGTTCGTAGGTCAAGGCGTTCATAAGTCAAGGCATACTATAGTCTAATCTCAGTGAAACAACAGCAAAAGTTACAATTCCAACATTTTGTTACCCCTAGGAGAACTTGCATTACTTGACCTTCAACTTTTTGAATTTCCTAATGATATGAATTGAAGGCATGGTGATCTAGCTTAAACAGCTTCTAATGGAAACAAGTAAAACAGAAGCAATAAAAAAAACTCTGTGGCACATTTAAGATTAACCAATTTAATCTTATTTAAATAATAACAACTTTATTTAAGCATGAACTTTTGTGGATTACAGTCTACTTCATCAGCCGCATAAAGTATTTAGGCTGAAAATTCATAAATGCAATTTCTAAACCTGGTGCTCCTCTCCCCCACCTCCAGGTTAGAACTAACTCACTTGATGATGCTGCTTCAACCCAAATTTAAACCGGCCAATTTCATTTAAGAGGGAACAGTCTCCACTGAGGTTAGCAGCTCGAATCTGTAAGGGAAACACAAAATGAGTAACAATGAATAGAGCATACATTTTTAAAAATTACACAATTGCAAAGCTCTTAAGAGTTCTCTAGCTGAAGCTCCCAAGAGTTTTCTCGCTGAAATGCCACCCACTAGCAGTGAATAACATGTCATTTCATCAAAACTTCCACCTAACGATTCTCCACTCCTTTTCCATTCTGGCTTATAGCTACTAAAAATAGATTAACTGTGTAAACAATGAAATAAAAGTTCTTGAATCTGATTGACTGCTCACCCTCAAAATTTCTGGTGACACCAATTCACCTACTGTGCTGAGAAATTGTCTTTTTGATTCCATGCATAAAACAGAACAAGGTACTACATTCTAGCTTATAGAAACTGCTTTTTTCCAGGGGTACTCCAAAGGCAGAAGTCACAATTTCCATTTTTAACTTGTGTTGAATGATAAACATCTTGCTTTATTATACAAATGAGTAACCTGGATAGTTTTGGGAATACTCTTTATAGTGCACTAGCACCAAGAAAAGATTATCCATGTTAAAATTAGTTTATGTGTAGTTGAGAATGAAGGTATTTATACTTAATTACTGACTAGATTATTTGTTACTAGGAGAACTATGAGTTTCATATGAGTTAGAATTCCCTTATTCTCCCTTTTTTCTTATGCCTTTTCTCTCCAACGAACCAGTGCTCTCCCCTTTCTCAACAAGGTGCTCATTTTCTTCTCGACTGTTGTTGTTATTTTGGGCGGCTATCAGTATTTAAAACACAACAACCCAATCCCACCCAGAAGGACATAAATAAAGATAATCAAAACACATTAAAACACAGGATTACTGAAAAAGAAGGAAACATGGATGGCAAATCAAAATCAATAATCAATTCTGTTGATCAAAACTGTCAGAAGACTGTCCCTCATTGTGTGTATGAAATTTCCAAGTGCATATATATAATTTCTAGATGGATCAGTGAATCAATATTATGGAAAAGCAGGCAAGGAACAGAGTAAAAATAAAGAGAAGAATACATTTAGTGGAACTTTGCTGGTAAGAATATGTTCAGGCTACGTATCAAGTGTGTTCCTGGCAGCATTAGCAATCCACATCTGCAAATAAAATATTTAACTTACCTCTGAACAAGCCAAGTGCCTGACATTATTGAACCAGTCTACCTGTGCACGACAATGATCAAAAGCATGGATAAGTTCATGTATCACCACTCTATTCATATGAGCTTGCTGGTGAATATTGTTTTGGCATAAAACAATCTGAAAAAGAAAATAAATAAAACATTCACAGGATAATTCAAAAAATATTTTTAATGGCAAATCATACACATTTCTCTTTTATACCCCTAAATAACAGTGCTGGCAAATGTTAATTGCTCTTTATAGTCCTATGCAGATGCTAGCCAGTTCACACACAGGACAAAGCTGGAGGGGGGGGTTGATGTAAACATGGGGCCTTCCTCTGAACACCACCATATCTGTGGTATCATTCTATGGCTCCACACATTGATCACAAAGATCTGAGGTAGGCTTCCTGACTGGGTTCAACTAAATACATTATAAAGCGCTCATGACTGGGAATCTTGCCTTATCAGGATTCCCAATCAAAAGCATTCCATAATGGCATTCAACCAAATGTTATTACAGAGCTCTCTGCAGACATTTTCACTCAGTGAACAAAGATCTGAAGTAGTGCCAGGCAAACATCAATATTTAGGATTGGTTCTACACCCCAGGATTATCCCATGTGAGTAAGCAAATATCTGCACTGGGTTTACAGAGCACTGCACAACAATCAGCTGGATCTGACAAGTGAGGTAGCCAAGGGATAGCCACCATCTGGCTTTCTGTGCTCTAACTCTCTTCTCTGCCTGATGCAATCATACGAGTCAGAAGTGAGGAGAGAAGATGATGCAAGTATGGAAGGAGATGCTGAAGATTCAGCCCCACTCACACTACTGCAATGTGAATGAAAGGATATAAGATAAAGAAAGTATACTGCCCTCCTCCCTGATTGCCCCCACTACTTTGGTTTTTCCCCTTCAGCACAAAGAAATACTATAGCTTGCAAGCTCACTGTGCTATCTAATGCTAGATCTGCTTTATGGGAGTCAGCATATCTGAGAGCAGCAAATGGATCCAGAGACATTTCCATACAAGAAAATACCAGCCTGGGATAAGCATTAAAGGCCTGGGCCCTTCTGTCCCACATTACATACAAAATCAGTGTAGCTAAGATACAGAATTACCACACTAACTTCCATAGGTATGATGAAATGACAAATCAGTACCTGAGAAAAACTGGAAAAAATAATCTCCAGTAAACACAATTCCAATATGTTTTAGGCAGCCGGAAAGTTTAAAGGAATGTTCCAATTCAACTGAAGTTTCCTGGCCTGAAGTTGATTCTTCCCCTTGCACCCATTCCATCAGGAAAATGCACACTTTGATTTACTCTGAAAGTGAAATCCTATGATCTGTGGCAGGACACTCCTCTGGCTAAAGGGATCAATTATAGTAATTAGGCAGCGAAGGAGGTCCATCTCTTGCACTACAGTTTAGCCTGTAAAAGTTCTCTCAGGGTGGGGTGGATCTTTCAGTTACTATGGTTGCCCTGCCAGTGTCATCCCAGGAACACATGAAAGGCAAGGGTGCACATATACTCCTGAAATAGAGTAAAATTATACCAGCCTTGATGGAGAATTCCATGCCACTGGATTGTTTTCTTAATGTTTTTGGTTTTTACTATTTTGTAGCAAAGAAATTGAGAACACCAATCTTGAGGAATTATGGCTAAAACCCAAATATATATTAAACATTGTATAATTATGCAACAATTCTATTTTTTTATAATGGGAGCACATAAAATAATCTCCTACAACCAAGCACAGAAGAGATTGCTCAGTGAGCTACCTGGGAGGTTGAAGAATCAAATCCCCCGCTGACACACCCATCACAGTCTTCACATGAGAAGTGTCTGTCTCTGTAAACAGTGCTGCAATGTAAAAAAATTTAACATAAGTAAGATTCAAGTATTTGACTTACCTGTTTTTTCTTCTGCTCAAGCCATTAAAAAACAACATGAAATGAAAACAAACATAAAAGAAAAAAACCTTCCCAAACAAAAAAGGAACATTGAACAAAATAGCAAAACAATGAAAGAAAGTCCAAAAAGTCTGGAAAAAAATCTAAATGCAAACTAAGATGTAAGGCGATCAAACATTTACATATGTAACCATATACAGTGGACCCTCGACTTATAAAGGTCCCTACTTACAAAAATTTCAAGGTACGAAAAGCTCCGGCCGCAAAATTTTGGTCTGACTTGCGGCCGGAGCTTTGACCTACAAAAGGCAGGGGGAAAGGGTGGGAAATTCAAAGCCACCCGCGGCTCTCGGCTTACCAGGCTTCGAAAGCTGCACCCACTGCCTCTTGTCTCCTGTCCCCAGTGCCCTCTGCCTCCTGTCCCTGTGGGGGAAGGAGGACAGAAGGCAGAGGGGCAGCGGGTGCAGCTTTGGAAGTCTGGGATTTTTTTTCTTAGGCCAGTTACGGATTACAGGGTTTTCAATGCATTCCTATGGGAAATTGACTTTTTGACCTGAGGTCACCGTTCCAATACAGATTAATTCCGTAAGTAGAGGGTCCACTGTAGTTGTCATCTATATGTAGCACATTTGTATGTTGAAATAATTATAAAGATTCTCAGTCTGGTGGTTGTAGGTTTTTCGGGCTGTTTGGCCGTGTTCTTGGAAGTGTTTCTTCCTAACATTTCGCTAGTCTCTGTGGCCAGCATCTTCTGAGAATGGGAGCTAGAGCTCTGAACACAGACAGAGCTCTAGCTCCCGTCCTCTCAACATGCCGGCCACAGAGACTGGCGAAACATTAGGAAGAACAACCTTCAGAACAAGGCCAAACAGCCCAAAAAGCCTACAACAACCATCGGATCCCAGCTGTGAAAGCCTTCGAGAATACATTCTCAGTCTGTTGATGAATATAATGGGCTTTTATCTTTCCATTTCTGCAATCACAATCATTCAGCCGCTGCAAAGACATTTTATTTCCATGAAACAGGTAGATAGTTTGACAAAAGTTTTGGCAAGAAAGGTTTAAGTACACAAGAATAATTACCATAAAGACACGATAGGGTTGGGTCATAAGTGTTTCTTACCAGCCAGAATTCTTCATAGCATCAAGAAGTACTTTAGCATAGGGATCTACAACAGACATCAGTGCAATCAGTCATTCCTGAACCAGTATCTTTTGCAGGGGAAACCAGGCTGGAGATGCCAGTGTATTTTGGCATCAGGGTATTTTGGCATGCAATACATATATTCAGCTAATTAATTAAAACTCAAACTTCTGCCATTGTTTCAGGTCATCAGTTACCAGGAGGAAGCTCTCTTTGCCAGGAGCTACCATTCCACAAATGGGAATTTTTGCCTCTTTATGTAGTGAACTACAAAATTACATTACATCCACAAACAGTAACTTTTGTTAGAACATCACTGGGCAAAGATGCTTATTGTTTTTAAAATACTAAACTGTACACCTTTTTCCCCATGATGTAATGCTCATGCAAGTTATACCATAACCTGGTGCACTTCCACTGACAGATAAATCCCTTTGGATTCCAGCAATCCAATAAGATTACTGCTTGCAGTTCTTTCATGGCCTGTTCAAGCTAGGTGTAAATTAAAATAAAAAGGTGGGGGGAAAGTGTGCTTTTCAGTAGTACTGTAATATGAAGAAGCTAATGTATAGAAAGCGTAGCACAAACTAACTGAGCAACCAACAAGAGGAGTAGTAAATGGCACTTTTCCCTTCAACAATCCTGGAGTTAGGGATGTAGGACCTCTCCCCCGTAGTTCTAAATCTGTATATAATTCTTATGTCCCCAAAAATGTAGCTACAAAACAAAAACAGCTGATTAACACACAGGAAGGCACAACCTCTCCTCCTCCCCATGCAACAGAGCAGCACACTGCTGGGCCCTCCCTTGTCTCATGCCAGCTTCCCTGTATGCCCCAACATCCTCCTCAGCAATCGCATTGTACCATCATGCCAGAAGAAGGGGCCATCCAAGACATTACCACAGACTGGGGCTACTGCAACCATGAACAGGGGCCTCAGTAAGTCTAAGGCCGACCCGTCTCAGGCCACTTCCTGGAGAATAGCAGCAAAGTATTTATTGAAAATCCATTTATTGATTGATAAAAATCTGTGTATAACCTCAACTGTGCTGCTGAAACCCATGCAATTCAAGGGAGCATTTCAACTTTGATGACAAAAAGCTATGTCAGGTTCTGAGTGGCAAGAAACATTTCAAGTTCTAAGGAAAATATCATTGTTATGTGGTATAATATACCAGATGGGTGGGATAGATCATTGTTATGTGTTGTGTGTGTGTGCGCGTGTGTGCGTGCATGTGTGCGTGCGTGTGCCCAAGGACCACCTTGCCCTCAGGTAGAAAAATATTATATCTCTCATGGAAAAAAGGCTGCCAAAAAGTAAGTTAACTGAGTGCAATCATTCCCAGGAAAGAAAAAGTGTTGGCTGGGGTATTCAGGAGCATCCAATGCTGCATTTAGAGCTAAGCTACTGCAGAGTATAAAAAATTAATAATTAAAGCACAGTGTTCAATAAATCTGTGAAATGCCCAGTGCCTTATGTTTTCTGCAACTTAATGAAAATGAACGCACACACACAGAGATCACTAAAGTTGTGTTACATTATCTATATACAACTAGTCATTTCAGAGGAAGGGTGTGAAGAGCGCTTTCAGACTGTCCACTCCCAGGACTAATCTCACAGATTTATTTATTTATTTATTTATTTAAGACTAATCTCACAGATGAAATTTATACAGAACTGCCCTGCCACATATCCTTTCCACCGTTAATCAGTAGTGATAAATGGTTGTATGCCCTGCCACATATCCTTTCTGACGTTAATCAGTAGTGATAAATGGTTGTATGGTTTATTTTTTCCAACTAAAAATTAATTCCCTGCCCCACCTCCAGCAAAAAAAAAAAATAATAATAAAAATTAAAAATTAGAGAGGGCTGATTAGAAACATTTACCAGACCCTCGACTTTCCCTGGTTGGCCACCCATGGGGCCGCCGGGGAAGGTGGCCACCTAACATATCATCAAGGAGGACAGCTCTTCCGATGGGAGGACCGTCCTCTCTAAAGGAGGAAGATCCGGCCACCCTCGTCAGGGCCCCCTCACGGGCTGGTCTTGGAGGGTGTTTGTAACAGGCTCCATTGCCCGAGGTGGAGGCATCATCCACGGCCCCGTGGCCAGAAACGACCTCAGGCCGGAGGAGGCCCTCCAAGTCCTACCCGCCCCGCTCGGACACTTACTGGTGGCCAGGGCGATATGCAGCATCGCTTGGCATTTCTTGTTGGTGAGGAACCCGCCATAGACAAAGGACCGCTTTTGCTTCCCTTCTGAACGCCGTCGCTCCGGGAACAGGTCATAACCGAAGTCCTCCTCCTCTTCTCCACCTTCAGCGGCGCGACTCTCGGGCTGCTCGGAAGCCATGGAGGGCCCTCTCGCCCTCCCTCATTCAAGCACGAAGGGGGGAAAACGCAAAACTCCAACCGCCTTGCCGGCCGCCGTACCGAAGTTTCACGGCTGGGCAAAGGTCGTCTCGCGCACGAACCATAGAGATATGAAAGACCTCTCCGCACTTGAATGGATAGATAATGGGCCTGTGGGCTTGGAATAACCCTTTTGCCGCCAGAGAAGCAGAAGCTGCGCCCTGAAAACCTATGCCAGAAGCACGACTAGACTCTTGGATGTTTATTTACTCTCCCTTTTTTTTAATAAGATTTTTACGTACACGTGCCCCGAGCACACTTGACCAGACCGTAACCCAGCCGGGGAAGCGAGAGCGGAAGAGAGAAAGCCCGGCTTAACGTTTCCATGACACCAGAGGCTGGGCTGAACTCAGTACGCAGGCGCATTGGAGGCCTTTTCCCCCCTCCCCTCTTCTTCCTTCCCTCTGCTATGGAAATAAACACCCGGTGTATTTTTAATTTGTGTCCTAAATAGCCTAGCATTCTATGTACCTAAAGAAATATACTGCACTGATATAAATCTATTAATCTATGAAACGTTCCGCAAGCCTTTTTTCTTTCATCCCGCGTTTGCTCTGAGGCGGCCCTTTCCTATCTCTATGGTTACTACAGAAACACTTCCTGCGACAGTCCGTCTCTCTCCTGCAGTTCCGTCCTCTTCCTCCCGCGCAAGGCTTCCTGGGAAAGGAAAGCGAAGCGCGGATGGAGTGGTTGCTGGAGAGTAAGAGGTAACCGTGGAGGATTGCGCAGGTAACGGACCGGGAGCGGTGGGAGAGACTTTCTCGTTACTCCGGTGTTGGAAGGGGGGGGAGCTGAGGTGACGGTGAAAGAGCCTGCGGGCTAGAAATGAATGTGTAGGATGCTGGAAATTTGGCTTCTTTTCCTTCTCTGAGAAGATCTGTTTCTTCTCAGGAAACTCAGTGAAGCCCAAGGGGAACTAGATGGGCTACCCTGTCCACTTTGGGGTCTGTCCCCCTCCTCAAATCAAGGAGCCCCCCTATAGTACGTCTTTCCTTCCCAATCGGAAACAAACGCAGCCTTATTATCTTTTTTTATATAGCAACATCATACTTTGGAAATGATATCTGAAGGACTCTTCAATGGTGTCTTTTTTTTCTCTCACACAGAAAGGATTTCTTACATATTTTCATATTTGCTTTTCTTCTCTCTCCCTCTGTTATGCTTGACCTCTTATTTCTTTTACCTCAGGAGGGAATCCAGTACTTCTGATCTCTCCCAGGTCAGGTGTGAAGCTTGCTGTGTTATCGAACTGTATGAATGAATGAATGAATGAATACCACATTCTGTTCATTCTGTGCTACTCTCATATTAGGCAGGATAAGGAATGGCAGTCATGCATTGAGAGTAAAACAAATGAGTGGGCTGAATTTTTTATTTCCTCCTCTCATTTGGGTGAAGTTCTCTGCTCAAGGCTGGTTTTTTTCCCTGTTTCTGTACCAAGAAGTGTTAAAAACAGTTGCAGCTAAGATGCAGAAGGAAGGAAGAAGGATTTAGTTGGTGCCTTCTTGCTTTTTAGTGTGAAATTTACCCCCCACACACACACACATACACACTTTGTGTGTGGGATGGCCACAGATATATTCCCTTGCATTTGCTTTGGGTGTGAGTAGTTCAGTCCGATTGCATTGTGTTTTTAATAAGCTACTCTTCAAATAATGCTCACTAAATATACTAACTGAGGATCAAATCATAAAGGATGTTAAGATGTAATTCATCTTAGTCTTCTATTTACAAATGCTTCTTGGCAGGCTCTTGTTCCTTAAAGACATTGGATCACCAGATGTCTTCGCCAAACAAAGCAGTAGAGTTACAGATGCAAATACGACAAAATGCTGAAGAGTTGCAAGATTTTGTGAAAGAGTTAGAAAATTGGGAAAAGGATATTAAAGAAAAGGATTATAATTTAAGGCAGCAGAGTGGTGTCCCAGAAAAGGTAAGCTGGCCACTCTGATTATTACTGACATAGGTGGTTAAAGTAAAAATATATTTTGCTCAGCATTGGCTTTGATTTCAAAGAGACCTTAAAATAAAACACCAGTTTTATAGCATACTGCGTTTGAAACTGAAATTGCATGAGGCTTTCTGATTTTGGGGAGAGACATTATTTGTATATTTGTATGGTTTACCATTCTTTATAGAAAACCTCAGTACAAATATTGAAGTGTTTTGATCATCCTCTTTGCTTTCAGTAGACAATACTCAGTACCACTATGTCTCCTCAGGGTAGAACTTCTATCTTCAATCATTGTATCCCAGTTCTCCATCCAGAGTTAACACACCCATACTTACTTCACCAGATAAGAGAATTCTTGTGGAAAGCAGTCATGGGGTAATTTTAATCATGTTGAAGGAGCTTGGATTACTGTAATAGTCATAGAAGCAGACAACCACATGTTTATAGGATCACCAGGTATTGCACAAGTGTAATTGCATGCAGCAGCCACACATCACAACAAGCCAACATTTAATAGAATTCCTGTTTGCTTCACAGGAGCCAGTAATTTCTGTAACTCTAGTTCACATGATGACATGTGAATCCAGCAAGAGTTGCCTGTTTGGTTTATCTCATCTCTGATAAGCCAGAGAAGAAGTTTAGGATTTGTTGTATAGTTATTCCTCTAGCTTGCTGAGGAGCGAGGAAGAGCTATAGAATCAGCTGCATCAGGGTGGTTTACAGGAACAGTCAAGCACTGTACAGAAGTGCATAATGCACTCTCACAGTAATCCTTGGTGTGATCTCTGAATGCACCCAAGAGAACTAGATCAGGGCCAATACTAATTCTGTACTGCTGTTGCCCTTTTTAAAACTGTAACTCTCAGATTTTCTGAAATTGCATAGCAATATTTTCTTCTGTTTAGGATTTGCCACCAATTAGAAATGAAGCCTATAGGAGGAAGAAGAAGAAAACCAAAATGAAAGCAGTGTCCAAAAATACTACAGAAGAAAACAAAAAGAACAAAATAAAGTCATATGATTATGAGGCATGGGGAAAACTTGACGTGGTAAGTTAAAATGTTAGGAAAAAACTTGGTGTTTTTTTTAATGTAGATATGTAATTTAGAGTCCTATGCATAAAAAGTGTGTGCATAAAGGAATACACAGTGTTTTCCACCCTCCAGTAGGCTCCTGTCATATGACTGATCTTGAAACCAGTGTGAGACTGGTGTTCAAAGGGAGGTTTGTTGGGACATAAAAATAGTTATGTTGTTGCCCCTTTGCTCCACATTCTGTCAGTAAAATTTTGACTAGTATAGTTAAACTTTCTATTAAAAATGTGAAAACATAGAACTAGAATTGTTGGATTTGTGAGTAAGTAGCTTTTAGGTTCTGTGAAAATACATAAGCCCTCCAATAAGATCAAAGTGTTTGACTGAAAATGTCATTCATAGTTACAAACATGTTTTTAACATACAGAATACATGGCCTGTTTTCATAAAGCTTCAGGAGCCTTTTGTTTGCTTGTGAATTTTACATGATGCTTTGCTTTTATTTCGATTTCACAGCTTAAATAGATCCTCAAAATTGGACTCTGATCTTTGAGCTAATTGAGATGGAGTATTTGGATGCATTAGCATTTTTCTTCTTTATATGTGAAGGATGAACATTGCCATACACTCATGGTGATTTGATATTGTACTGGGTTTTAGTAAGATGTGAGGTGAAGAGTACTGCATTCACTGTTAGATGGAGTACCTCAGTTGAATTGAATTCTCAAAGGGGAGGGCAGATTTGTTTTAAAGTTGGGTTTTTTATTTAATATGTGATTTAAATCAATTTGATTTTAAAAAATCATTGATTTCTATCCACCTTGTCAATGGATCTAGAATTGGTACCAATGTATTTATCCTTTTTTGCTTGCATCTTACCCTCTTCAGGATTCTTTATTCTTCAGATATGTTTCCTTGAACCTATAAGTATTGTTACATTTATGTCATTTCAGGATAAGATACTTGAAGAGCTTGATAAGGAAGATAGCACCCACGATTCAGTGTCTCAAGACTCAGATTCTGAAGAAGATGGAATTCGTATAGATACAGAAAAAGCACTTGCTGAGAAAGAAAAGGTTATATGAGAACACTCTACTTTTTCTTCTGATCATAGCATACAGACACTTCCATCATTTTGTTTTTCCTGAGGAGAGGAATTCAACTCTCCAGCTGTTGTTGTATTGCAGCTTCTGTTAGCTCAAGCTAGTGTGGCTGATGGTAAGAGTTGCAGTTGAACAACTTCTGGCAGATCATGCATTCCCCAATCCTGATTCACATTCTTAGTTATTGTAATTGAGAAATAACTCAAGTTTTTGATGCTCTGTTGCCTTAAGATGAGATTTTGAAAATGAATCTGCATCTACCAAGAGGTTCACTAAAGTTATTTTTACATTATTACCATCGTTCTTATTTGCACCTGACAGCAAAAACATGTGTTATATTACTTTTTCATTTTTAACAAAAAATTAGCTATGTTAGCAAAAAGATTGATTCAGTTTCACTAAGAGCTAAACATTGTGCATCCTCTTTTGACTTGTTAAGAATTAACTATTTTGTAGGGTGTTTTTCTAAACTACTTGAGATTTGTTGAAGTTGGGGGAGGGGTACTTTTTATAAGTTTTCTCAAATAACAGCTGTGAGCTTATCTAGAATACCTGGACCTGCAATGCTTACTTATGCTTTGGTTATCTCAGAATTAGGCTATTGCCATATTCCATATTTGCAGTTGCCTCTGAAGAGATCTGGATGTGTCAGCTCATGCTAAATTTTTCCTGCTGTTTTCCAGAAGTGCAACTGCCATTTTGTTTTTACCTGTTATGGCTACTAATCTGTTTCTGAGCCCAACTGAAGGTGCACATCTTAATTGCTAAAGCTTTTAATGTCTAGAACAGTGGTCCCCAATTTTTTCTGAACCGTAGACCATTTGGGGAGGGGGTGTGCTCGCATAGGGGCAGGGCGCACTTGTGCACATGCACGGAGTGGCGGGGTATGCTTGTGTGCATTCACTGAGGGGAGGGCGTGCTCACGGAGAGGAGGGGCACTCGTGCATGTGGAGGGACGGAGCGTGCTCATTGAGGGGAGGGGAGCGCTCACATGCATTCATGGAGGGAAGGGCACTCTCGCAGAGGGGAGGGCACCCATGCATGCAGGTGGGGTAGTGCGTGCAGGGGGGCAGGAGATCTGTTGGCCCAGTTGGGGACCCCTGGTCTAGAACATGTGTCAAGGCCTGCAGGCTGAATCCAGCCTGCTGGGCCGTTTCATGTGGCCTTTGCAGTGTTGGCTGCTACTGTTCAGTATACAATGCGCAGGGCTTGCTCGGTCACCCATAACGTTCCACAAGGATGCGGGGAATCTGCCCAGCGGGACTTCTGATTCCAAGCGGCGAAAAGTCAGAAAGTGATAATTGAATGAGGGAGATTATATTTAATATTATAAAGAGTAGATACATTTATATAGTCTTACAGATACAACCAGCCCTTTGAGGGCAATCATAATACTGATGCAGCCCAAGAAGAAATACAGTGGTGCCTCGCTTAGCGATGTTAATTCGTGCAGAAAAAATCGCTGCTAAGCGATAACATCGCTAAGCGAAAATAAAAAGCCCATAGAAACGCATTAAAATGCAATTAATGCGTTCCTATGGGCTTAAAACTCACCTTTAAGCGAAGATCCTCCATAGTGCCGCCATTTTCGGTGCCTCTAAAGCGAGGAATCCATCCCAGAAAACAGCGGGCGACCATTTTGTTTACCCGGCGGCCATTTTGAAACCGCCGATCAGCAAAGCGAAATTCACCCATAGGGACCATCGCAAAGCGATCGCTTTTGCGATCGCAAAAACAGCATCGCTAAGCGATTTTGCCGTAAAACGGAGCGATCGCTATGCGAGGCACCACTGTAGTTTTACACCTCTGGTCTAGAACTGTCTTTAACCATGGAATCTAGCATTGTGCAGTCTTGTATGCCAGTGAATACCTTACAGATCCTTTCCAACTGTCTGCCATTATAAGGTTGGTGTGCACTAGTGAAATAGTCTTCTCACTGGTAGGCTTGTGCCTTTGGAACATTTTTCCAATGATTCTCATCTTTGTCTCTTCTGCTCTGGTATTTAGGTGTACTTTGAAGATGTTTTATTTTTTTCAAGGTTGCCTTTGATGCCATAGCTTTTATTATTAGAGCAGCTTCCCAAAGTAAATTTCATACATTTGTTCTAATGTCATCACCTTTGATTTATACTTTGCTGTTTACATCTTTCTATAGTTTTAGGGAGGGGTGGGACTAATTAAAATATTAAGATTAGTTCAGTGGAATAAACAATAAATATAAGGAGCTTGATACAAGAAACAAATGAGGGGATGCAAGACATCATTCCACCCACCCTTCTTCCTGTTATAGATTGTGGGATTTACAATACAGTCTGTAAGTTAATAGAACACATAGGTATGCATGCCAGATTTGGCAACACCACAGGGCAGAGGAGAAATATTTTCCTTTATTCTTGGTGCATTGTTTAATTAATGCATATTATACTCTGGTTTATCTTCAGATCACATATATTATAGAATTCCCATGGTAGGGAAACCTGCCTTATCAAGGTTCCCAATCATTTCATAGTGGCATTCAACTAGATGTCATTACAGAACTCTCTACAGACCTTTTCACTCAATGAATGAAAGTCTGAAACAGTGCCAGAGATAATCAGTATTTAGCATTGGTCCTACACATCAGAATTGTAGGTATGAGTATGCAAATATCTGCACTGTGTTTACATAGCATTGCACGAGTATCAGCTGCATCTACCCAGTGCTACTTTGTATCCATTTTTATTCATCCTTCCTTAATTTTGGGTTCAGAGCAAATTTGTGAAATAGAAAACAGGACAAAAATTCATGTGCAGTTTGCTAAGAAGTAAATTCTAGTGACTTTATCTGGGGGTCTTATTCACAGGTGAATGTATAGGATTCCAACTCTACTGACTGCTTCTTCATTTTTTTCATTAATCACTTTGCATGTTGGTTTTCAACTGTAATGTTCTCAAGTCACTCAGATTTATAAAATAAAAGTTATAGTCATAATGAATGTTTCTATGAAGCATCTCCAAGTAGCAAAGATGAGCCCACCATCATGTTCTGTAACTATTGTGACTATGACGAGTTTATTGTCTGTCGAATCATATAGCAGCACACCATCATGTTCTGTAACTATTGTGACTAAATTTCTGCTTGCTTATCTCGGAAAGAGCAAAAGATGAAAGGAACCGAGACAATCTAGGAGTTTCTAATTTTCTGCGTGGTCTGGCTGAGCTCTGTCATCAAGTTATTTTAATGTCAAGAGTATTAATAACATGACTGTGGTTTAGCTGCTCTTGAGTTAGGTGAATTTTATTTAAAGTGATGAGAAGTGGCAAAAATAAGTTCAAATGATATTCATGTCAAAGATATTTATTTTCTTTAAACAGGGTAATAAATATTTTAAACAAGGGAATTATGATACTGCAATAGAATGTTACACAAAAGGAATGAATGCAGATCCTTACAATCCAGTTTTGCCGGCAAACAGGTCATCTGCTTTTTTTCGACTGAAAAAGTAAGGCTTATGTTTCAGATTTTTGTGCTTTGCTTCATGAATAACCTTAGATAAGAAACAGTTCTTACAACTCAATATACAGTTAAGCCTCCTCTGTTACCATCTTTATTGAATAATCCTAACACTTCTGTTTGACTTCATAAACTTAAAACTTGCAAATCAGATTTTTCCTGTTGTACTAAGAAACTAGTATGCTTCAAAATTTGCAAGCTTATTTTTGGAACATTTTATGTCTTCATAAGGATATGGTATCCTCCCTCTTCTTTCTTAGAAGGACTGTAGGAATTAGACACTTACTATGTAGAAGCTTACAAAACAAAGAAAATGAAATTAATGCATTGTTTAATGCTTATAAGTCCCTTAGGAGAAATGCCCATTTATTAGTTATGCATTTTAAAGTCATGTACACATTATAGTTTTTTTGTATTGTCTTTCAAGAAAGCCAGGACAATACATGTGTGTTTCCGTCTTATCTTCACAATAATTTAATAGGTTAGATGCAAAAAATTGGAATGCTGTCATCCAACGAGTTGAGTGGCTTGGTAGAAATTTGAATGTGGATGTTTTTTGGACTTTCTGTTGGACTTCTATGGGATTAAAGGACTCAGTCTCTCTACTCATTAGACTCTGTACATGATGTCAGTCAAAAATTGCCATTCCCACCCATGGGTTTCTCCTTCTGGCAAATGGTAGCTCCAGAGGGAGACTTACCAAGGCACAGGTATAAGTCCTTAAATGATTCTAAGGACTAGGGATTTTTTCAGTTATAGCTGCCAAAATTCTGACTGGGGCAATTCCTGTCTTATTCTGAGAGCTATAGTCAAAAAACTTGAGAAAGTCTCTTGCCTAATACTTGCATTCTTCTTTGATAGATATAACAGGGCATATAAAATACTATACAGTGGTGCCTCGCTTAGCGATTGCTTCGTTTAATGATGAACTCGCTTAGCTATGACTTTCTGAGCGATCTTGCACTCCGTTTAACTCTGGTTCCTATGGGCGATTTTCGCATAGCGATGTTTGGGACCATGCTTCGCATAGCAATGACAGTTTCGGTCCCCCTGTTTCGCTTAACGATGGTTTTGACAGCCTCGTGTTGGCTGTTTTTTAAATGTTTAAAAATGTTTAAAAATGTTTAGAATGCTTGAAATCATAAGTGCACATAATAAACCCTTTGTTTAACTAATTTGACTTTGTTCCGACTCTTTTTAAATTTGTTGTAATTTTTTCCCCCATTGAGATGCATTGAATAGGTTTCAATGCGTTTCAATTGGGGAACCGTGTTTCGCTTAGCGATGTTTCCTATGGCGATTTTCGCTTAAGGACGGCAATCCGTTCCCATTGGAATAGATTATCCGGTTTTCAATGCATTTCTATGGGAAAATGTGTTTCGCTTAGCAATGAAATCGCTTAACAGCGATTTTTTGGGAACCAATTATCGTTAAGCGAGGCACCACTGTAATAGCTAATGCACTTTGTTTATAAATTGACATTTAAAACATGGATATATGTGCAGTTTTTGATTTGTTGGAGAAAAAAGAATGTTCCTGTTGTGGGTAAAGAAAGAATCTGTCCTTGACTGAAAAGAGAATGTTTGACCCTAGCTGCACCATGGAGTTCAGACATGTAAAATACAGGTTTATGTCACAGAAAAGTTGGTTGTTTAGCCCAGATGAAGTACAACAAAACTTTGCCCAGAAATAAACAATACTTTCTATATATGTTTAGATTTGAATCAGTTTGCACATTCCTGTATTTAGGTTAAGGATAAGATAGTGACGGTCAGCCTGTTTCTAGTCAGTGTCAGTTTGGACACTTGGTTTTGATTAGCAACAACAAAGAGCATACCAGAGCCCTTTCTGAAAGCTGGGTGGGCCTGCCATGCCAGAGGTATGGAGGGCGAATCTTTACAAAAGCAGCCCTGTTGTCTGAGCATTGTCTGCGTCTGTCTTGTCCTTAATACAGTTAAGGGTCTTCAGGAGTGGTTCTCAAGGAGTGGTTCTCTCTGGTGCTTTGAAAGGTTCTGTGCTTAGCATTTCTTAAATTGCACGTGGTTTTGTTTGTGTAGAGTTAATATATATTTACAATGACAGACATATGTAAATTACTCCTACAGGTATTCTGTAGCTGAATCTGATTGTAATTTAGCACTTGCCCTAGATAAAAATTATACTAAAGCTTATTCCAGAAGAGGAGCAGCTCGCCTTGCTTTGAAAAATTTTGAGGGCGCAAAAGAAGGTACATGTATCTTTTATTGTGTATCTGTTTAACGTATGGCTGCAGCCAAGTTGCTGTGCACTTTTCAATTATTGTCCTTCCAGGTCAAGAACCTATGATGGGTTCTTGAGCCAGTGGTAAATTCAAAGGCTAATCTCAGCATAACTCCCTGTTTTCTTCATTCCTCTGCCCTGTGTCTCAGAAGAACACATAGTAGAGTTCAGGCAGTGGGGTATTGCATTCATTTGAATTGTGGAAAATGCCTGTTCTCTCAACCTCTTCTGGTTTTTTCCCCCATAATAAAGGATGCACTGGATTTAATATCTTTTTGGTCATTGTTGCTTTGTTGGATTCTAAAAGTACTACCCCATTTGCTTTATTTTTTTTAAGAATTTGACTTTGATTATGTTAACATGCTGTATGTCTGCCATAGACTTCACTGTTTTCTCTGCTTAATTCCCCTTACTGGAAGTTATAGGTCCCTAATCTGGGGCAAATAAACATATTTCAGATTTTAAAGAAGTCCTGTGGTTATACATGTTTAAAGGACCAAATCCAACATTAATTTCAACCAGAGACGGTTGGAATCCATAGTTCCTTACCTGTGAATAGCATGTCCTATTCATTCCAGTTAAATCCAGTGCCCCTCTTTCTGGACCTACATTGGATTTAGTTAAAAAAAAAGTGTTAGAAAGTAACATTGTATCGTATATAGTTTTGTGTGGGAGTTTTTTGTTTGTTTAATCCTACATCTTCATATCTTGATTTACTGTTCAGATTATGAAAAGGTTTTGGAATTGGATCCAGACAATTTTGAAGCAAAAAGTGAACTTAGAAAAATTGAACAGGTAAAGAATTTTAATATACCCACGTTGCCCAGCAAATACGATCTTCTTTTAGTTGTGTGTTGAGAATGTTTTGTATATTTCTTATCAGGTTCTCATATCTAAAAAAAATTCTCAACCTGAAGAAACAGATATTTCTACTACTATGGAAGTTGCAGAACAGAAACAAACAGAAGAAGAACAACTTAAGCAAAAAGCTGTAACAGAAAAAGATTTGGTAAATATAAAGAAGTATTTTAGTGGGGTCGATTTTTAATTTTATTGCAACCCTGAATTGTATTACATTATTCAAAGCTTTGGGACAGGGAAGCCTGTCATTCTGTCTCTGCACTGAAATATGACTTAGTCCAGTGGTTCTTAACCTTAGGTAAGTCATGTGTTTTTGGACTGCAACTCCCAGAAGCCTTCACCACTGTGCTGGCTGGGGTTTCTGGGAGTTGCAGTCCAAAAACACCTGAGTAACCCAAGGTTAAGAACCACTGACTTGGTCATTCTATTTGGCACATGGACTATCTGTTGGTTAGTTAGCTATTCATGTTTTTCTATTTGAGTTTAAGGTGGTCATCTTTTTCCTAAAGCAACAAAATGTTAAACTGGTGTTTTCTTCCCAATTTGCGTAGCTTAATGCTATGACAACCTGGCCTTGGCCAGCTGTCATGAAGGCATTGTGGTGTTCTCAGCCAAGCATAAAGAGCTCTGCAAAGCTGTCTTTAAAACATCCCGTGTAACTACCACTTCCTCCCCTTCTTCCATTGGTACAGGAAATTAATGAATAAAGTATGGTTTGTGAAGTGTGGCTCCCTTCTGTCAACATAGTGAGACTTCCCACATAATTGTTTATATTTTTCTCTCTTCTCAATTATCGCAGGGTAACAGATATTTCAAAGAAGGTAAATACGAAATAGCAATAGAGTGCTACACACGTGGTATAGCAGCAGATGGCACCAATGCACTTCTTCCAGCCAACAGAGCTATGGCCTATCTGAAAATTCAAAAGTGAGTGGGCTTGCATGTATCATTCTGTGTCTTCTGCCAGTTTTCTTTGAATTCAATTTTAAATCCTTTTTTTACAATTATAAATAATTTTGTTTTTAATCCCATTCAGTAACTTGTTTTAAATGAACTGGTGGAGCTTTATACAGTAACATGAATTAATCTGGTTCCATCCCATGCATTTAGGTTTTGCTTTTCCTAAGAATGTGAGGAAACCAAACGCACTTGAAATAGTTTATGTGTGAATTAAAATTTGTTTATATGGCTGACCCACATTTTCTTTTCATGTATGATACTTAGAAGGGGTGTAAATAAGGAGTTCAGCCCTAAGGGCTATTCGTGCACATTCTAGTTTCATATAATGATCAAGCTGATATATTTTACCAACAAACTGTGTTTCCCTGAAAATAAGACAGGAGCTTATATTAATTTTTGCTCCAAAAACGTAGTAGGGCTTATTTTCAGGGGATGTTGTTTTCCATGTACAACAGTCTAAATTAATTCAAATACAGTCATGTCATCTTCTGGTTGCTGCACAAGGGTGGAGGGCAGGGTTTCACTTAACTAGGGCTTATTTTTGGGGTAGGGCTTATATTATTAGCATCCTGAAAAATCATATTAGGGCTTATTTTCAGGTTAGGTCTTATTTTTGGGGTAACAGAGTAGCTAATTTGACATCTGGAATGGAGTTGTTTTGTTTCTCATTTTAGTTACAGCCAACTTAATTTGTATATCACATTTCTGTGGTACTTTGTGCTCCTAGCAGTTCACAAAGCAGTAACCATAGTCATGGTATAACATTAAGTTAAAGTTTGCACAGCAATTTTCTGGTTTAAGAGCGTCACATATTAGCAGGTCACTCAGCTGTGCATGTCAGCATTATTTGCGCTATGCAGTTTGTAGTTGAAAGAAGACAAATTCATGCTTACAGCAAATTCACAGTGAAAAGAAAAAGTGGAGGCCAGGATTTAGTGGTGTACTTCTGATGAATCATGCTACTTCTGCAGAACTGACCAACCCCCCTTTCTTTTGCAGCCTTCCCCCCTCATTAACACTAAAAACATTATGGGGAGCTCTGACAGTCCCCCCGGGCACTTTTTTTTTCATCACTGAGAAGGCAGCAGGAGAGGGAGAGAAAGAAGTCCAAATTCTACACCACTAGACAGAATGAGGCATTTTAGAGAGCCCACTCTTAAGCATAAGAGAAGACCACCTCTCACCAGGGTTCTATGTGCTGAACCAGCGGAAGGCATTGTTATCCTTCATAACTATCTTTGTACAGCAGAGCAGTGTGAGAGGCAAGATGGAAAAAAACATTATTTCTGGGTCTATATCCTCATTAAATAGCAGAGATTGAAAAACACACCAGCATTTCCTTCACACCCTTTTGAAGGTTTCTGGGGGAAGCGACAAGTGAAAACGGCCAAGTCCTCATAACAAGTCTTCCCATTATTTTTGGTACTATCAGCCATGGAAACAAACCATTGGTAGTTGAGACCCTTGTGATTTCTAACAAGACACAGTGAAGTACCTTCAGTATCATCTGATCTTGCCTAAGTTTTTAATTAACCTGATTTTTTTTCAAAATGCTGATTTAATTAGAAACTACTATCTTTCTCATATTCACACTGAAATTTGTCTTAAAGATGCCACAATACTTTTTTGTTTTTGTTGGTAAAACGGAATAACACAGCTATGTATGTATCTGAAAAAAAAGCACTTGGAAAATGCAGTTAGAAAATTCAAAGTTTAAAATAGGTGACACACAAGATGTCTGCTAATTAATGTAAGTGCTTTTTAAATATAGTTATGAAAAACAACAAGGAATATGTCCCACTGCTGAAATAATTCCACATATGCCTTTAAAACCACTCCATTCTCATACTTATTTGTGTTTAACATTTAAGCATAGAATCTTTGGTATGAAATGTTATGAGCAATTATAGGCTATAAGAAAGCAAAACAATGTCTGATGCACCAAAACTAATATTTTTTTAAAAAAAATATCTTGCAATAAGATACAAGGAGGCAGAAGATGATTGTACAAAAGCTGTGTTATTAGATTCTTCATACTCCAAAGCATATGCCAGAAGAGGGACTGCTAGAGCTGCGTTGGGAAAGCTAAAAGAAGCCATGCAAGGTAAGATTCAGAAAACAGAGCCTTTTTAATGGAATTTCTTACTCTGTCCAAATACCAAGGAAACAGCCTCAGTTCAGCTATAGCAATCCAGTGCAAAAGCAAGAAATACTTGCATGTAAAACAATTGGCTTGTTCACAATTTCTTGCTCTTTTAAGCTACTCCAAAGCCAAGGATAGTTGGGGCAGTGTCTAACAGGAGCACTCTGGATGGATGAGATCTTATCCTCTTCTACATAGGACACATGACCAGTGCTATGAAGGCTCTAATTTGGAGCATAGTACTGGATTCTCTATCTTTACGTAAAGTTTTCAACTGACATGATATGAATTGCATGTTGGGAGTCTAGTAAATGTAGAAAGTGTTTATATCCACACTTTCCTGGAAGTAAACACATTGAACAATAGCTGTGAATAGCATTTGCATTGAGGCAGGCGTGTGTAGGATTTCAGTATTAGTATTTCAGGTTGATAGCATTTTGAACTGGCTTTATTTTGCTATATTGGAAATGTCACTATTACTGCTGATTCCAGTCTTTTGACCTTAAAGGTTGAAAGCAAAAATGCATTGTTCCCAGTTTCTTGCTATTGCCACAGTTCCAATTACCTGAATATTTATAGTGCTTTTTATTTAGTTCAGACTTCCCTCAAAGGTAGCTTTCATCCTAGCAGTTTATGAACTCATATGTACCATTGTGGTTGCCTTTCGCTGGTTAATTGATGGGCATGATCGTACCACATCTAAACAGGCTTCATTTTTTAAAAAGTGCTGTTGGATTTAGTAGAACTTGGAAACGCTCAATCAAGGATGGGCTGTTATCTAACAGCTATATGTAAATAGAGGAAATTGGGAAAGTTTGTGGTGGGTGCAGTGGTATCTTCTATTAAAGAAGGAATAGAAGTTGCTTCTGTTTTATTTACAGTAAATGTATGTTGCTTATGTGTTTTGTTCAGATTTTGAAACAGTCTTAAAACTGGAGCCTGGAAATAAACAAGCAATAAATGAAATAATGAAACTTAAGAATGTAAGTGTGCATGTGTGTTTCTATACATTGCAATATCAGTAAATAAAAAGGTTTTACTTATGCATTTCAAGTGTTTTAAATTATTTGTTTTCACTAACGCTTATTCAATGATTTTTTAAAAAAAAATATTAGGAGTTATTTGCGAAAGGACTGCAGATATACCCGGAATGTCCTGAACTCTCACAGGGTGAAACGGAAGTACAAAATCAAGTGAAACCCATTGACAAACCCATGCATCTCAGGTCAACAGTAAGTACAATGGAGCAGGGATATTTTTTGAAATAAACATCTTGATTGCTTGTACAAGCACTTTTCCAATGAATATATCTTTGCAGATATAAATTTTGGCATGTTTTTTCTCTCTTCCTTTATCCATCCATCAACATCCATCTCTCCCTGGGTCAAGACCCAGCCCGCTTATACACACTAAGTGCAAAGTTGGTATGAACAGGGCAGTCTTGTGCATTCAGGAATAATATAGAAGAGAAAACCAAATGGTCTGGGAACAGGGTGGAGGCGGGAGCAGGCAGAATGCTTGCTGGCATAAAAACAAAAGGGATAGGACTGGAAAAAGTAGGAAGCATGTTAACATATTGCAGGTAAACAAATATAAGAGTTACAATGTGTTTGCTGTTTCCACTTACATAGTGAGGTCAGTGAATGGTAAGCAGAATTTCTCTGGCATTTGTAGTAAAGAATGGATAACATCTCTTTCTGTGATTACACTGTGTCGTGCAGTGGACTTGTTCATCCTTGAAGTACCATGGGGCTGTTCATTTTTGATATGACAGGCACAGCTACTCTTCAATATTGTGTCTTATCCTCCAGCCTGGTAAAACACTTCTGTGTTGCAGCTAACATACTGCATGATCATGTACTTTTTAGAAACCCTTGAGAAGAATAATAATTGAAGAAGTGGATGATGAGACGTTGTGCACAAATCTAGTGGCTCCCACCAGTCAAAAACCTGTTTCAGCAAGTATAGAAGCAACACAGGCCTTGGCATCTGCAAAGAACCCAAGTGAAAATGATTTGTTTTCAACAACTGATACTCCTCAAGCAAAGTTGTTAAAAATAGAAGAAATAGGTGATTCTCTAACCATGCAGTAAGTATTCTGATATTAGTATCAAATGTTAATAGAAGGTTGTGTTGACCATCGACTCAGATTACTACTTTGCAAGGACAGAAATATCCTTTCAATATTAAAATGCCCTATGAATTGTAACAGAATATGTGTCCCAGAGGTGGGGTTTCAGCAGAACCGTCAGCAGTGAGTTTGGGGCATTAAAAGACCTCCCACTCCATCCCAAGACCCCTAAAGGCTTATCTAGGTCAAAAGGAACCCCAAAGGAGGCTTGGAACTGAGAGGTGGAAGAATAGAAAATTTCTAATGAGCACTTAAAGCCTGTGGCTGTTGGTGTCAGCTTGCATGGATGTAACTGTATGCAAGAGAATTTTGGGCACTGTTTTTTAAAAAATACAGTATTTTGGCCATGCTTTTAACTAGCCTTTGCTAGTTATGTGTCATTTTTGAAGGCTTAGACTAGGACAGTTAATGCTAAGCATAGTGCTCATTTGATTACAAGCTAAAGTACGTTTTTGGTCAGATGTACCTGACCTGTAAAGCTTACATGGGAAGTTATTTTTTTCTTGTCCATTATGATTTTGGTAAGTACAAAAATGGATAGACTCAGATATTTGGAACATTTTGTCAGTATACTTGATAGAAAACATTGCATGTGCTATTCTTGCATTAAAAAGTAATTCTTGTGGCAAAGTCCCAACCCCTGAAAATAAGTGAGATGGAATGACAGATAAATTACAGGAGAGCAAGTGGCTACATTATAATCACTGTTGAAAATGCTTGTATGTTTGACATGCTTTTTTGTGTTATGAAATTGTAGAGAGCTTTTATTTTTATAGTTGTGGAAATACTCTTGGCATTCAAATTCCATAGTTTTCAGAAGAGTTTTGATATAAGAATTAGTTGTTTTTAACTTTTCTCTATTCTTTCTGTGATCAGCAAATTTAATTTATCTTGTAACTGGAAATCTCTGTATTTTTAAAATAATTGTATAAAAAGATAGTATTTTGCTTTAACATTTTTTAAAAAGTGCTGCTGTGGTTCAAATTTTCATGTTCATCCAAATAATTTGTTTCATGATTGTCAGAAGCATTGTGACATTTTGAAATCAACCATCTCTCTCTCTCTCTCTCTCTCTTCTCTCTCTCTCTCTCTCTCTCTCTCTTTCTTTCTTTCTTTCTTTCTTTCACACATCTGGCATACAGTATTGCTTAAGTTGGTTATATGTAGGTGCCAAGTAAATACAAGCAGATTTTTAGACTGATGGGGCAGTTGCTAGTGAATTTTGATAAAATTAGTATTATGCAGACATAATCTAAAATTTAGTCTAGGGATTTTCTTGAGAGAGAGATGTATCTGAGGAAAAGCTAAATAATCATCCATGTCATGTTTGTCTTAATATTTTCAGGTCATTTACCAAAGATATCGTGAAAGAGAAATCACCACCAATCCCTCACTCTTGTCCTTTGAAGGCCCAAACAGATATGGAAAACCAAACTCTTCCTCCAGCATCTGCATTTCCTGTGCCTCTAGTCCCTGTGAATTCTTTCCAGCTTGAATCAGATTTCAGAAAATTAAAATGCTACCCAGATCAATTATACACTTATTTGAAAGTAAGATAGCTGATGATGCATGGCTGATGTTTGGTTTCTGCCAGCTTTTATTTTACCAGTTGTCTAATTCCACAGGGTAGTCTATAATCTTCATCTAATTCTTCCAGTTTCTCTTTTGTTTGGTTACCTCTGTATATTTGAATAATGCATGAACCTTTTAAAGGCTGAAATAATTCCAACATTTTAAAGGTTGAAATTATTCCTATTAAAGGTTCAGGTCATAAAAAGCTACCTTATTGTTCCAGTGGTAAATTGCTCGGTTTAAGGAAATATTTTGTGTTTCTTGTATCTGTCAATCAAGCCAGTTTGGTGGAATCTAGTCTCAACAGCCGTGGGCAAGAGGAGATGTGCAGTAATGGCTGTGCATCTCTGAAGTGCCTCTTTCTCCCCCCTCCCCCACTGCCGTCAGCTCACAGTGTACTTTTCACCTTTATGAGGTTGCATAAAGTGAAAGAGACTGTCCCAGAATGGTCCAATATGGGCAGGGGTTTGAACTCCATACTGTTGCCATAGGATATTGGAGTGTGTTCTACGCAGGGCGTTGCAAAAGCCCTGTCTCTCCATATGAATTATGGTTTACTAACTGGCTTGATTCCACTCCAGTAGAGCTTTGTCCTTGATAGGCATTGTGAAAGGATATGGGTTTTTTAATTACCGTTTTTTAATGTAAATGTTTCTTTGTTCTCTCAAAGCAAATCAACCCTTCACTTTACCCCAACCTGTTTCAAAAATCTTTGGATCCAGATGTATTTAGCCAAATATTGAAAATTCTGCAAGATTTTTATATTGGGTAAGTTTAATTTCATGGCATTCTAGACCAGGGGTCAGGGAACATTTTTACCTTCCCCCCCAAAAAAATTATATATATATGTATATATATACACACGCCAACATTGCCCCCTTGATTTGAAAGGAAGGAACTGGTACATTATTTGAATTCAAAATCTTAGTGAATCTACACAGGTTGGGTACCGAACTAGCAGGATGCACCAAATTTAATAAAGATGTGCACTATTTTTGTTGGAACACATTGCACTCCAGCCATGGGATGTTATAGGGAGTAGGAAGGTGTCCAACGTGCCTAGCAAGTTACATTAAATTTTTGCTAGCTTGCAGAGGATTTAATCATCATCAATGGGTGCCAGAGTGGTGCTAGCAATGACGTGTTTGCTAGAGACCTCCGAGTTTGAGGGGGGGGTTCCTACCACTTTCATCATTTTGTGTGTGACGTGCAAAAAGGAACAAACTAGACTAATGGTCATGTCACCCGCCCTGATGCCACAGCCCAACATCAAAGGACCAGTGCGCTTTTTCTATCATCATCAGTGGAAAACTCAGCAGTGGCCAGAAGATTGGAAAAGATCAATCTACATCCCATTCCCAAAGAAGGGCAGTGCCAAAGAATGCTCCAACTACCGTACAATTGCACTAATTTCACACACTAGCAAGATTATGCTCAAAAGCCACCCGGTCCCTCACTCTCACCTTCCTGCCTTAATTGCAGCCGTCTCTCCTTGCAGTCACCTCCTTTTTTCATGGCTTTATGAAAGTCAGTCTCTCTCACACCTGCCCGCCCTCCCTAAATTATCTACAATCTTACCTTTAAATAAGCTTGATGAATCCACCCTTCCCTCTCTTGCACCTATCTTCCCGCCTTATTCAGCGGAAGTAGTCATTCACAAGCTGCCTTGAGTGCCCCTGGCTGTGTTACAGCCCTAAACAATAAAGCTGGCTTATCTCCAATCTCTGAAAGAACTGATCTACAACTGCGGGAACCAAAGACGGTAGCAGGCAGAGGCGGCTTACA